TTAGAGACTAGTACCATAAAGTAAAGAACAGAAAATAGAGTCTAGGAGACAAGATTTATTCTTTTAATTTTTTTAGCTTTTTTTTTTTTGGTTTTTCGAGACAGGGTTTCTCTGTGGCTTTGGAGGCTGTCCTGGAACTCGCTTGGTAGTCCAGGCTGGTCTCGAACTTACAGAGATCCGCCTGCCTCTGCCTCCCGAGTGCTGGGATTAAAGGCGTGCGCCACCAACGCCCGGCAATTTTTTTTTTAGCTTAAGCAATTTCTTTTATGTGTTTGTTTTATTTTATTGAAAATTTATAATCTGATCAGTTTCCCCCTCCTGACTCCTCCCAGATCCTCGCCACCCCTCTTATCCTAAATAGTTGTAGGTAGGGCAGACCTTCCACCACCAAAGTCTCTATCCAAATGTCACACAACACTAGAAAGCCCGACAGCCATATAACATAAACACACAAGTCATCCCCGCCACCCAACACTCTCACCTATTCATTTTAACTCCTCATTACCTGCTTCCCATCTGTTATGGTCCTTTTCACTATCTCAAAATGGTATCTTCCCCCTCTAAAACAAAGGTTCTATGGCAGCAGACCCTTCATGTCTTGTCTGCTGTCTCCCTTTCATCTGGTTGTAGTTAGTGGTTAGAATATAATAGGCAGTTAATAAACATCTGTGGGAGAGCATGGCCCACAACCTGAACTACACTCAGGATACTTATCAAAGGTTTTTTTCCACCTGTAAAAGGAGTCTCAAAGCTTTTTTAAAAGTCTCACTCAACCCTTAAAAAAACAGAAGTTAAGCCAGGAATGGCAACACATACCTTTAATCCCAGCACTCGGGAGGCAGAGGCAGGTGGATCTCTGTGAGTTCAAGGCCAGCCTGGTCTACAGGGAGAGTTCCAGGACAGGCTCCAAAGCAATACAGAGAAACCCTGTCTGAAAAAACCAAAAACAGGAAGTTAAGGTAGTTATAAAAAAAAAAAACAATGAGCCGGGCGTTGGTGGCGCATGCCTTTAATCCCAGCACTCGGGAGGCAGAGGCAGGCGGATCTCTGCGAGTTCGAGACCAGCCTGGACTACCAAGCGAGTTCCAGGACAGCCTCCAAAGTCACAGAGAAACCCTGTCTCGAAAAACCAAAAAAAAAAAAATGACCACAGAATTCTATCACTAAGGAAATACAATGAAGCAATGGTGTTAGGAAAGGAATTGTATCTGTTGCCCTTTTCATGTTTCTAGAGCATAGACTTTTTTCTCATCATGGTCTTTCACTGGTTATGATACATTCAAATGAAAGCCAGCAAAATTTTTTTCTGTGAGCAGTGGTAGTGCATGCCTTTAATCCCAGAACTCAAAAAAACCAACTAAATGAATAAATTTCTCTGAAAAACACCAACATAAGGTCTAAGAATATTTTTTATACTTACTTTAAAGCAAGTGACTTTTGGTCTTCCTTTTTCACAATGCTGGAGATTGAACCTAGGACCTCACACATGCTGTGCAAGGTATAGGCCCAGCCTTGTAGATTATTTTTTAGTTTTTCAAAGCAGGGTTTGTCTGTGTAACAGACCAGGGTGGCCTCGAACTCACAAGTCCTCTGCCTGCCTCTGCCTCCCAGAGTGCTGGGGTTAAAGGTATGTGCCACCACTCCGGCTAAAGAAGATATTTTTGAGAGGCTACTAATAGTCAGGCAGTGGTGGCACACAACTTTAATCCCAGCATTCGGGAGGCAGAGGCAGGCGGATCTCTATGAGTTTGAGACCAGCCTGGTCTACAAGAGCTAGATCCAGGACAGCCTCCAAAAGCCATAGAGAAACCCTGTCATGAAAAACCAAAAAAAGAGGTTACTAATAGAGCTGGGGTAGTTATAAAGTTGGAAATGAGAAATGAGAGCTCACATTCAGGACTGGCACACAGTTAAGTACCAGGTACGCAGTAAGTGCCTACTGGGTTTTCAAAATCCTATTCTTGGGTGCCCATTTTGACATGGAAATATAAAAACACAAACTCCGAAACCAACTGAAGACTTGCAAAATCCTTATGAGTAAAAGGCACACAGGATCTTGAGCCTCAAAAGATGTCTGAAAGAACAGCAGTGCAGACTTTGTTTTTATTTTTGTTTTGTTTTGGCTTTTCAAGTGTATCCCTGGCAGTCCTGGAACTCACTCTGGTAGACAAGGCAGGCTTTGAAGTCACAGAGATGGACCTGCCTCTATGTCCCTAGTACTGGGATTAAAGATGTATGCCACCACCACCTGGCTTCAGCTAAACTTAAAAACCGGATCCTGGGGTTGAAGAGGTGACTCAGTGGTCACTCTTCCAGAGAACCCAGTTTTGGTTTCCAGTTACCCACACTGCAGCTTACAACTGTCTATGTAGACTCCAGTTCCAGGGAATATGATGCCCACAGACACCAGGGACACAAGCAGGCATACAGGTATACAGGCAGACAAAACACATACATAAAATAAAGATAAATTCAAAAAATAACCCTGAATCCTACATTGTTAAATGTCGCTCCTGTAGATCCCTTTCTGAATTCGTGAATGGAGGGTATCAGCTTTAGAAAACAAAAGACTTCATTAAAAACTTTAATGGCACAAAAGCCAACACGTAGGTCCACTATTTTTCTCACTTTCTCTGAACAATAATAGTGTTATGTTTGTGCAGATTCAATTGGCAGTTGTGTTCTTGTCACCGATAAGGTATTTTCCACTGTAAACACGTCTCTCATGGGGTCAGCCAGCCCTCAGCAAGTGCTCCCCAAGTAAGGGTTAGAATTAAGTGTTTATGCCAAGCCTCATGGCTCAATTTCATAAATGTTATAGGAGGAGTTGCTTACACACTATGGTCAGCTAGGACCTGCAGACATTTTAGAGTCATAATGTCCCATCTACAGAAAACATTACAAAGTGTTGATTTAGGTGAATTATATCTGCTGGCACTTCTGTTATTAGAAAGTTGAGAAATAAATAAGAACACTGGAGTCATTAGGGTGGTGATATCATCACATATTACGTAGCTTCTGGAAAATTCTACTATATATAAGCAAAAGGCTGAGAGTGAAAAGGAGAAAGATCTTAGTACTATTGGGGAAAGTTCTGACTGCACAGGCTCCCTAGGAAGGTACTTGAGAGTCACTGGCTAAACTCATCAAATGCTATGCTTGGAAGCTGGGTTCCTCACATTTGGCAGTGCTAATATGTTGGAGATAACTTTTTACTTTTTTTTGGTGTTTTGAGACAGGGTTTCTCTGTAACAGCCCTAGCTGTACTGGAACTCACTCTTTAGACCAGGCTGGTCTTGAATTCAGAGATCTGCCTGCCCAAGTGCTGAGATTAAAGGTATGGCCCCAGCTGGAGACAACTCTTTGAGAAGGGCTGTCCTGTTCCTGTAGGCAGGCTAGCAGGATCCCTAACCTCTATTCATTAGAAGCAGCCTTGTGGGAAAGCAAAAACTGCCTCTAGGATATATATGTATACGCAAATCCATATTTGCATGAAACAACAATAGATGCAAAAAGAGGTCATGGATTTGAAGGGGAGCAAGCAGGGGTGTGTGAGAGGACTTAGAGGGGAAAAGGGAAGAGAGAAATAAATGCAATCTCAATACAATCTCAAAAATTAAAAACTAAACTCAAAAGCTATTATGGAAAAAATTTAAATGTCTCTACAAGATTTTGCCAAATACCCACTGGGTCAGAACACACTGTTCCAGCTGATCCTACTCCACTGAAATGTGAATTACAAACTCAATTCTTTGCCTCAATATACCTATCTCCACCCCATCCCAATCTGGGTTTTTTTTCTTCTATCCCTTTAGTAAAGTACAAACAGCAAGAGCCACTGGATAACAACAAGCAGAGTAATTCAGGTCAGGAAGACAGCCACAGTGATCAAAGTTCAAGTGTAGGTTGTTATGGACTCTCAGTCTATTGGGGCAGATCACAACCAACCTTAACCCATTTATTCTTACCGCCAAGTCACAAGCCAGTCCCTTAGGCTATTACCTACTACTTTTACACCACAAATAAGCTGACTGCAGAGGGATACCAGAAAAAAGAGGCTCTGAAAAAAAGGAGGTGGTATACAAAACTCAAATAACTTCCATCTTGGAAGCTCCCTGGGTTTTACATCTAAGCAGGATTTTTTTCTGATGGAGTCTGGCTGGAAGGAAGTACCAAAAAGTTACCTGGAAAAGAAAACAACAAAAAACCCCCACGAGATCCTAAATACCTCCAAGTCAGATATTCACTCCCCATCAAAGTTCTCACTCATCCCTTTAGTTTCCAGAGGCTGGGAATAAATTTTCTTTCCAGGAAGTTACTCCAGTTACCTTAGATTCCTTTGCTCTCAAAACTCCCAAGATCATACTCAAACTCCGCACCATTCCTCATCTGGTCACCTTTCCTCCTAGCCTCAAATGCCACCTACAGAGTCCCCAACGCTGTCTCTTCCCCTTAGGCCCTACTGTCCTATCTACCCCCCCTATTCTGGCCCAACAATTCCAACAGGGGTACAGGTCTTCCGTTCCAAATTCCCTTTCTCACGTTACAGTTTTTCCACCATCTCCAAACTCTTCCCTGATCCAAGTAACCAAGGCTGATCCAAGTAACCAAGGCTCCCCAGTGTGTCCCTCTGCTCCCCAAGACTCTTGTCCAAGTTGCTCCCTCTATCCCAGGTGTCTTCGAACTCTTCACTCCTCTTGCCTAGTCCGGTGCGGTTCTCCACATCCCTGGCTTGCCGGGTTGTTACTCTCTGGGGTCCTCCCAACCCGCCATCCCTTAGGCAGGCCTTCTCTAGGTCATTGCTCAAGTTCCCCCCCCCTTGTCCCCCCCCCCCGCCCCGCCTCGCGCCTCGGGCCGCCGCCACCTCCGCCCAGTGTCAGCTGCTCAGTCTCTCACCGCGTCCCCGAAGACCAGTCTTTCAGGTTGTGGCCTTTGAACTCCCCCTCCCATCCCCCCCGGGCCCAGCTGCAGACACTAAAGGAGAGGGCCGGAAAACTCACCCAGGAGCACACAACACAGGACGAGCCCTGAGCCCGAAACCGGAGAGAGGCGGAAGCGCATCGTGATCCCGCAGGGCAGGCGTCGAGCCGACCGGCAAAGCCAACGAACACCCTCGCAGACCCGGGGAAAGCGAAAGCACAGGTGACCACCGACAACAGCACCGAGAAAGCCAGGAATCGCCGCTTCAGCCCCAGTCATAAGACCTGGGGCGGGGCTCTTTCTTCCTTTCAGCCAATCACCATGCTTGAGAGCAGTGCGAGGGGCTGGGCTGTCCGGGCAGGAGGGCGGGGTGGCCACGCCCTGTCTTTTTGGTTCACAATCATTACAGTAGAAAGATACAAGCGCGGAGGGCATTTTTTTAAAGGCTAACAGGAGAGGAGGAACTTTTGAGGTTTGTAGATAGTGGATTATTTCTGTTCTTGGTCCTTGAGAACAAACAACCATTTTCCTGGCATCAAAACGGTTGCAAGATAAATGTATGCAAAAATAAAACACTATTATTCTCCAAGCACGGAGGCTACCTATGCAGTTTATGCTATTAATGGACAGGGAAGGTAGAAGATAGTATGGAGTCACTAACCACCAGATCAGACCCTGCTCTTGAAAGTACAACATTCCCTTTCCCAAATGGGAAAATTGAAGCTAGAAAGAGGAAGCATATTTTTAAACAGAGGAAGAAAAGGGTGAGAGAAATAAAACAAGAATAAAAGGAAATAAAGAACATTCCTACTACTACCCAGAGATGCTGTTTACAAAAATCATAAACTTCCAGGAATTTTCTATGCATACATAAAAAACATCTAATGAGTTCATACTAAACAATATTCTGTACACTTATCAAGTGAGCAGTAAACAGACACAACTTAAACCAACATAGGAAAACAATCAAGCTTAAAACTCTAGAGTTGCAAAAAAACATTGACCCTCAAATGTCTAGTTTCCAAAATACACCACACACACACACACACACACACACACACACACACACACACACACTCATCACTCATCTAGGGTTTTAGAAGGTTCTTCTGTTTTTGTTTCTGTTTTTGATTTTCTTATCTGATGCCTCAGAGATTCTGGAATAAATGGCCTGTGTCTGTCCTACAAACTTAATTTTTTTTCTTTTTGACAATACTGAACCCAGGGTCTCCTCACACATGCTTAGCAAGCACTGAGCCCTTTTGGAAAAAAAAATTTGAGACAGGCTCAGTAAGTTGCCTAGTTTAACCTTGAACTCATAGTATTGTTGTAGCTCAGGCAGAACTTGAACATATGATTCCCCTGCCTCAGCTTGCCAAGTAGCTGAGATTGCAGGCTTTCACCGCCAGTCCTGTCTTATTACTTTCTTAAACAACACTTGGAATGATTCTGATGCTATGAACCGTGGACCACACTTTGAAAAACACTAAAACATTGATTCAACATCACACAGTTCTGATCTTAAATCTGAGGGTTCTGTCTATAAGCAAGCTAGAGCAGAATTGAGGGACAGCTAAGTGATTCTCTGAAATGACATGCGACACTGATGGGGCTTCTTCTGTAGAACTTTAGTTAATTCTCTAATGGGACTGGTGACTACCCATCCTAGTCCCCCACTCCAACACTAGTATTAATAGCCACAGATCTGCATTCACTGAAAGTAAGAACACTTGAGTATGATAAATGCTCTATCATGGGTGAAACTAAATCATGAGCAATTGACTCGTTGAACATGGAACTACTAAACTTTACAGCATTAGTCATTAGCTTTAGCAAAATGTCATTTGCCCATTCTCCCGCCCATAAGATCTGGCTAGAGTTTCTTTCTGGATCTGCAGAGAACATATGACTGGAATCAAGTCTTCAGAAGTACACCCACCAATCCTTACATTTATGAACTCCGTCCATTTCCTCAACTCTGGTTTCTTGCTTTTTGTTTTTTATTTTTGGTTGTTGTTTTGTTTTTTGAGACAGGATCTCACTTTGTGGCCTTGGCTGACCTGGAACTTGTATAGACCAGGCTGGCCTAGAATTCACAGAGATCCTCCTGCCTCTGCCTCAAGTGCTGGAATTAAAGGCATGCACAATCAGCCTGGCTGGAAAATTACTGATAAACCCTTTCCCCAGTATCAGGACAATGAATGATGTAATAAAGACCCTGTGGACATAATCAAAGTTTCTCATATGCACATATGAAAAGATCGACCTGAAACCCATTAGTTTATACAAATCACAAGTATTATTTATTTTAAAAAGATATAATGACCAGGCATGGTAGTGAAGAACATTAATCCCAGTACTAGGGAGGCAGAGGCAGTAGGATCTCTGTGAGTTTGAGGCCAGCCTGGTCTATGTAGTGAGTAGTTCTAGAACAGCCAGGATGACATAATAACACTTTGTTTAAAAAGAGAAAGAACCCCTACTAGATTTGATACAGTATGAAATTCAGGGATTAAAGGAAGGAACTGAACTCCTGGGTACACAGATTAATAATTAAAAAACAGTGGCTGTAGAGATGATTCAATGGTTAAGTGCACAGGCTGCTCTTCCAGAGGACCTGGGTTCAATTCCCAGAACCTACTTGGCAGCTCATACCTGTCTGTGACTCCAGTTCCAGGGCTTTGACACCCTCACACAGACGTACCTGCAGGCAAAACCAATGAACATAAAATAAATCATGTACTCAAAAAGAATTATGAAGCAAAAATATTTTAAAAGAAACCAGCAAGTACCCCTGAGCTACTGGTATCACCTACTTGTTATCAGGTGATCTTTTTATTAACATGTATTAATTGTTCAAAATAATGGGTTTTGTGATGATGTCCAGTGATGCCACTTCCTCCTACTGGTCCCCTTCATCTTCCCAGGTATTTCCCCTCTACTTTCTTTTTTTCTTTTTAGATGTAGAGTCTTCATACGGCATTTGTTTTTTGTTTTTTTTTTGGCATTTGGTGTTTTGAGTATGGCTTATTTTACTTAACATAATGATCTTCAGTTTTATCTATTTTCTTGAAAATAGCACAAACCCATTTTTCTTTATGAGCACATTATCTATTTTTATTTATATTTTGGAGGAGTTTTGTTCCTGTGTAATGTATATGCCTTTGTGTGCATGAGTGTGGGCTTATCTCACACGTTACATGTGTGTGGAGAGGCCAAAGGTAGATGTTTTGCTCTATTGTTCTTCTGTCTTACTATTCAGACGAGGCTTCCCTTCAACCTGGAGCTTGTTGTTTTGGCTAGCTTGGTCAGCCAGTGAGCCCTGGAACATACCCGTGTCAGGTCCCCCAGTTTTGAGGTTACAGATGCACTATGCCTGACTTTTACTTGGGTGCTGGAATCCTAATTCAGGCCCCCATTCTTGCATGATAAGCACTTTCTCCATCTAACCATTTCCCCAAAACTGACTTTCATTTTCATATACTCCTTGAATTTGGCTCTCTTCTGGATAAGGCCTCGAATCCATGGCAAAATGGCCACCACTGAAACCCACACAGAAGTCACTGTGGGCTCAGACAGTTGCCAAACCTTGAGCTGGAGTTCTCAGGGCAAGTGGAGATGTGCTACTTTGAGGTATAAGTTTCCCCCAACAGTATTCTCAGATCCCCTTGCAAAAAGATCTGGCCCAATCTGTTAAAACACAGTGGTTCTCAGGCCAACTGTACATTAAAATCGCCTAGAGGGCTTATCACAACACAGACTACTGGACCCCACTGGACTTTGTGCAGGTCTGAGGTAGAGTGAGAGAAAGTCTGCCTTTCTAGTAACTTCTCTGGTTGACCTGATGGTGCCCTACTAGAGACCACACTCTGAAAAACGATATCTCAAACACCTTTTGGGTCAATGTCTTTATTAATATACACATTTATTTATTTGCTTGTTTGTTTGCTTATATTTACATATGAATGTATGCCACATGTGTCCAGGTACCCAAAGTAGACATAAAAGGGCATTGGATTCCCCAGAGCTGGAGTTTCAGGCAGTTATGAGCTGTTCAGTGCAGGTGCTGGAAGTTAGCTAATGTGTTGGTGCTAAAAACTGCACTTAGGACCTCTGGAAAAGCAGTAAGCGCTCTGAAACACTGAGCTGTCTCTCCAGCCAGAAACACAAACTTTTGTTTTACACAGGGTCTCACTATGTAGTTCGTTTCCCCTGGCCTAGGACTCCCTATGTAATTCAGGCTGGCCTTGAACTCCACCACCACAACCGTCACCCGGCTATTTTTATTAGTATATGTTCATTCTACAAAGTGATGACTCTCATTATGACATTTCCCGAAGTATATCATGAATTTTGTCTATACTCATTCCTCATTGCCCTCTCCTGTCTCCCACCAATTCTCTGCCTTTTCCTAAATAGTACTTTCTACTTCCATGCTTTATGATATATAGTTGTGTGGGTGCATGTGTGTACATGCGTGAGTGTGTGTGTGTGTGTGTGTGTGTGTGTGTGTGTGTGTACAATCTAGGTTATGCATATAAGAGACTATCAGCAGTTCTCTTTCCTCTGTGGAAAGGAATTAGAAGTGGGAAAGGTTAGGTGGTGGTGGCGCACGCCTTTAATCACAGCACTTGAGAGGCAGAGACAGGTGGAGCTCTGTGAGTTCAAGGCCAGCCTGATCTACAGAGTAAATTCCTGGACAGCCAGGACTACACAGAGAAACTCTGTCTTGAAAAGAACCCCCCCACAAAAAAAGAGTAGGAGAAAAAACACTCTTATTAACTTCAACAAATTTGTAGAAAAATTTGGTTGTTTATAGTAATGCTTTTTTAAAATTAATTAATGAAAATAATTTTAGATACTCCAGCTGGGAGTATAGTTCCTTGGTAAAACTCTTGCCTAGTTTGTATGAAGTCCCGGACTCCATCCCCAACACCAAATTAAAAATAAATATTTAAAACTAGAATATTGAGCTGGTCTGGAAAGATAGCTCAAGATATAAGAGATCACACTGATCTTGCAGAGGACCCCAGTTCAAATCCCAGTACCCCCAAAAGGCAGCTCATAACCACCTGTAACTCCAATTCCAATATATCAATTTGAAGGTTCCTCAAAAAGCTCGAAACAGAACTGCCGTATGACCCAGTTATACCACATCTGGAGATATGCCCAAAGGACCCCCACACTCTACAGCAGAGATACCTATACTTCCATAGTCACTGTAACTCTAGGCACAGTATCACAGAAATAGAACTAGCCTAGATGTGCATCAATGAATAAATACATAATGAAAATACATGTGTGGAT